ATACAAATAGTTTTTCCAAAAAAAAAGCCACGGGGGCTAGATCTACGAAAGTAGATGTAGATCTTGAAAACGTCCCCTGTTCATCGGCTTAAACCCCTCGTCCTTTGGTGTTTTCGAATCAAAACAACGAGACCAAATCAAAAAGAGCCACATGCAAGTCGAATAACACGTGAGAAAGAACAAAAAATGTACCTTTTATTTCATATAAAGTTTCAAAATTTTACAGATTTTGCTCTTGATTTACTCGATTTTCTCTCGATAATCTCTTGTATTTTTTGTGTAAGTATTCTCTATGAAAATCGTATGTACAATGGGTTTGATTACAAGCTTATTTATACTCTAAAAAGAATCTATTTTTAGTTAGAGTTTAATGTCCCCTATTCGAACTATAACTCTTATTTTTTGTTGTTTTGCTTGCTTTGTGGGTGTTGGTTGTTGACGATGGGGTATTGGTTGTTGACGAGGGAGCGTTGGTACCGAGAGAATTGGCATGAAAAGTGGTTGCATGTCGAGGAGTCCTCGGCCTGAGCACTTGGATCGGGCCTCGGGTTGCTCCTGGTAGACCGAGTCGCGTTTTTCTAGAGTGTTCTGCTGATGGGCTCGTGTAATGTTTTATTATATTGGGTCACTGTTGGGTCTTGGACCTGTAATATGTAACCAATTAAACAAATGAATATATATATATATATATATTATAGTTTATAATAAAAATATATATTATATAATATCAATTGACGAAATTCGATGTCTTCAAAATTGAAATTAGTACCATACCTATCAAGTGTGACAATACTAGTGCTATTTGTCTCACTAAAAATCTCATCCAGCACTCTAGAACTAAGCACATTGAAATTAGAAATCATTTAATTAGAATCATGTCACAAAAGAAGATATATTTATAGAATATGTTGATACTTTGCATCAATTAGCGAATATTTTTACAAAACCTCTAGATAAAGAAAGATTTTGGACACTTAGGAGAGAATTAAGTTTAACCAACCTACTTTGACTTAGTGTTTAAAATAATTTTAGCACTTTTAATTAAAATTGAAAAATGCTCATAAAAATAACACTTTTGATTGCATTCTTTGTTATTAGTTAGAGGGAGTCTATGATTCTTAGTGAAAATTAATTATATGTTCAAATAATGTTAAGGATAGATTTGATTGATTGAAAATTGTTAATTTTTTATCTATTAGTTGCCAATACCACTAGAGCTAATTAATTTAGTATTTTAAGTGTTCAAAATGGATTTTTTACATTTTGTGCACTGTGCATCGATACACTAGAAAGTGTACCGATGTATCCATTGAATATGCATCGATACACTATGAATGTGCACCAATGCATTCCTTGAAGGTGCATCGATACACTCTGCTGTGCATCGATACACCCGTCGGGTTTTAGGCTTAAATACCTAAAAATCTCTCATTTTCTCAAAATTCCTAAAACCATAAACACCCGTCGTTCTCATGCTCTCAACCTCCTCTCTCTAAAATTTCTCAAAATCATCATTTCAAGTCAGAATCTATTCAATTTTCAACTACTAAACCTGTTACTATCAACAAATTCGTGCAAACAACATCACATTCTCACAAAATCTGAATTTTCAAGGTAATATTTCAAAAAACCCCTGTTTTATTGATTTTTGAACTTGTGACTATTTTGATTAATTCTAGGTTGAAATATATATCGGGCATCGATTATATAATGTTTAGAAACTATATTTTACAATTAATTTCATCAAACACACAAAAATTTCAAAATTTTTTGGAATTTTCAAAATAAAAAAAATTGTTTTGATTTTAAAATTGTTTTTTTTAATCTAATTATGTTGTTTTGAAAATTTCATATTGATTTTCAAACATCGTTTTCAAAATTGCCCATTAGGATTCGGTTTAGAGAACCTTGAATATTGAAGACTCTTATTGAGTTTTGGGATTGATTATATTGCATCATATTGTTTTTAAAATTGCAGGTATCTATTCTATTCCGATTTCTTGAACCATGTCTAATCCTAAACGCCCTAGGTCATCCTCTAGTCGTTCGAGTCAAAACCGAGCTCTCATTCCTCCTCTACCTCAAAATCCAAACGAACCCAAAATAACCATTCTTAATTATTACTTCAACCAACCTGGTCGTCATCGAGAAGAACTCTATCATAGGTTCATGAATTCTTTCCAATCTTATAAAATCTGGGAAGAGCGTATCCCCTCACTTCAAGTTATGGTTGATATGAATTTTCAATATCTTCCTACCCTTAAATCCTAAAAATTTGATAAACTTTGTCACCTTAAACCGATTGTCTATCATCAACTAGTCTGTATTTTCTACTCCAATACGGTATGTGTCCAAAATGAGTGTCAAACTACAACTATAGGAATTCGATCTTATCTCTTAGGTGAATTCATTTATATCGACTCGGACACAATCGCTAATGCCTTTGGTTTAGATAACGTGGGTCTAGTTAATGAGAGAGAGATTGTGGCTACTCCCTATAAAGCTAAGGATATTGTAAGTACCTTAAGAACTCATCACGAGCAATTTCTTCACTTGATGTTCTCTTTGTGGTTTAGACCATCCGGAGATAGGTACTCTTCCCTTAGAGTCTTAGATTTATGGTAGATACATTGTATCCATCATAACAAGAAAATAAATTTGCCACATATTATTTTTGGTGAATTAATAGATACTGTAAACGTTGTCCCATCCAAAAATGTCAAAACTTTAGTTTATGGTTGTTTACTTAGTAATTTGTTTATCAAACTAAGGCTTAGGGTCCCGCTTGATATTCCCATCCCTCCCCAGAACCAATTAAATCTCACATCTTTAAAGAAATCAGGATGGGAAAGTAAGGTGATCAATAGGTTCGAACCACTGAGAAAACATTGGGAGCTAGTTCTTCAGGAGCTCCACCTCCACGGGCACCGGCAGCGGATGATGATCCAGAGCTTCAAGAGCTATTTCAAGATATCGACGATCACGTACCCGAGGACGAGCTGGCACAACAAGAGGAACAAATTCCTCCATACTTTCGATCGTTTGTGGAGTTATTTGATCTTAGGTTTGCATCCATATAGTCCCATCTAACTGCTATGGGGGCTCAATAATTGGAATTTCAACAGGAGATGCACGAACGTTTAGATGTGCTTACACTCAAGATACGAGTACATTATCCTCCTCCTCTCGATCCACCATTGGATGATTAAACCTTGCCTTGCTTTGTTTTTGTGGATTGAACTTAGGATTGTTAAAACATTTTGAATCTTTTTGGATTTATGTTTTGGATGTTATGGATATTGGATGTTTAAACTTGAATGCTTATATATTTGGTTTGGTTGAATTTTTAATTTGAATTTATTGTTTATTAAATTTTGCATCATTTACATAATTTAGAATATGATCAATTTATCCTTACACATTATTTATGAATATTGATTTATGAAACTAATAGCTAACATTTCTCTTGATTGTGATCTTAGCAGCTTAAGCTTTAAATTTAAAGTCGATTGGCTACATTTTCAAACCTTGTTTAAATTGTTTTTATAGAGTCTGTTTGATTTAACAAAAAGGGGAATAATAAAGTAAGGGGGAGTAATTTTTACAAAATTGATTTCAAAAATGTTTTTCCAAAGAAAATCTTAAAATTACTTAAATATTTTGTTATATCAAAAAGGGGGAGATTGTTGAAAATATTTTGATGTTTCGATATAACAAATTAAGTATAAATGAATTTTAAGATTTTACAATCTTTTTCAAAGTATATTCAATTCAATTATTCGAATTTCAAAATATTACTCCAAGTTTTTCAAAGATCAATTTCAATCTTTACTCAAGTGTAAAATTGTGCTTTAAACTTAAAAATATTTTGAAACAATTTTTACAAAGTATTTTGAACCAAAATCGAGCCAAAAATTAAATTTTCAAAGGGATGTACCGATGCACTATTTGATGTATTGATGCACACCCTGTTTCGAATGTATTTTGTGTACCGATGCACAGTCATGCATCGATGCACTCTTGAATTTATTGAAACATCCAATGCATTTTGTGTACCGATACACATATCATGCATCGATGCACTCCTGGCTCTTTTGAAACATCGAATGTAATTAGTGTACCGATGCACCCCAAGTGTACCGATGCACTAAGTCTTATAACGGTCGAAATATTTGAATTTTACACACAATGTACCGATGCACCTTAATAGTACACCAATGCACCTTAATAGTACATCGATGCACACACGCTCTCAATCAGATTTTTAAATGATAATTACACAATAACGAGTCTATTGACTTCACCAATGATCCCCAACGTTCAGAATCAATTGAATGTGTATTTAAACAAGCTTAGGAGCCATTGATCAATAACAAGAAACAAGAATTGTGAGAGAGTCAAAGAGAAAGCATCAAACCTCAATTTTGAGCATGTTCAAGCCTATTTCATTCAATATTCATTTTTGCTTTCAAGAACACTTATTGTGCTCAATTGTATTATTTTTTAGTATTCTTTCGTTGTTCAAAAAATGTGCAAACAACTTGCCTTGTGAGGTTTTTCTGTAAGTTTGTGAAATTTATATTATTCTCTTTGGGAGAGAGTGTTCTCAAGAATTTAGGGTATAATTCTTGAGGGATTTGTAAGGTTACTCTTTGCCCTCAAAAGAAAGACAAATTAATGAATTTGTAGAAAATCCTTAGTGTGGATAGCTAAGATAGTGGACGTGAGTTTTAGTTTAGAAAGTCAAACCACTCTGAATCACTGTGCAATTATTTTCTATTTTCTGCAAAAACTTCCACCAAAATTTTAATTGTCAATTCTCTACTTCTTAGACAATTCATCGATCGATTAACTCAACATTTTGTATTAATCATTTATTTAACAAGAGAACTCGATACGTTTCCAAAAACTAAGACAACTGTTGCTGTCGGATAACTAAAACGAAATATCCAAAATTCCCCAAATTTCATAACCCTAAAACTGCGGACAATATCGTCCCTATAATTTCACACGAATGGGAATGGTATCCATAGAACCCTAAGATATTTCTCCTCCCTGAAACCTGAAAGGAACCCTAATGGCATCCCCCTGGAAAACGATATCGGACGACCCTCTCACTTCCCGCAAGCGCCTTCTCTCCGATTGCGCCAAGACGCCGTTATCGTATGGTCACTCTCCCCTTAAAAAGACCCGGGAACTCCCCAACTTAACCGAATGCCAAGCCTGTGGAACCCGATGTGACAACGCCAGTAGCAAAAAGCAGATTCAAACGCTTTACAGCGAGTGGCGCATTGTTCTTCTCTGCCCAAAATGTTATAATCGTGTTGACTCATCTCAAATCTGCTCTTATTGTTTCAAAGATGCATCCGAAGATTGCTTTTATTGTGCCCAATGTAAGCGTTCCCTTCACAAAACTTGCTTTTCAGATTTCAAATATGTTCCGCCGTGGTCATACTCTGTTTGTGGTTCGGAATTTACTGTTTGCATTGATTGTTGGGTCCCTGAAAAGATTGCTTGCAAAAGGGGGATTTTTAGGCGCGAAATAAATGCTAAGAATCCTAGAGTTTCGGAAGTTAGGAATGGTGAGGCAGCTAAGTTGTTAGAAGATGTGGTGAAAGATGCTAATTGTGCAATGGGAGAGATGGTTGAGGATGCGTTTAATGCAAGGGGACTGGCCATTAGCAAATCCGTTGTGGCCAACCAGGTGAAGGAATTGGAAAACAGTGAACTGGAAGAGTGTGATGATGCCGAATTAGCATTTCAATTGCATAGGGCAATGAATAGTTCACCTAGGATATCGAAAAATAGAAATTTGTCTACTGATAATGGCTTATATACTTTGACTGCTGGTAGTAGTAGGGCTTCGAGTTGTTTGAAACAAACGAAGATGGTTTATGCTCATAGAAAGAAACCAGCTGAGATAGAACCAAGGGATATAGTTTATGCTCTCCATAGAAAGAAATCAGTGCAAATAGTTGATGCATGGCCTAGAAAAAAAGCATGTAAGAAACTTAATGCACAACATAGAAATAAACAGAATGAGATGGTTTATGTACAACGTGGAAAGAAACCTTATAAGTTTGTTTATAAGCGGCGTAGAAAGCACAATGATAACAAGGAAAAATCTGGTGTTGAAATGGGATTGGAGGAGAATGAAGATATATGGTCTAGTTTGTTGTAAAAATGTAGGGTTGATGCTAACTCGAAGTCTGAGTCTAAACCTTATAATTACCAAGATGAACCTATATTATTTGATGATATGCAGTATTATGGGAAGCTTGTGTAATATTTCTTAACCTACAATAGGAAGAAATCAAAGTGGAAGGGAACTACAGTTGCCAAAATTGAGTTCCTTTATGATGGATATAACCTTGAAAGTCAGGTTTCATCTTCTCAATTGCCTGAATCTTTATTGATCTCGACTAGTTCTCTTCAATGTTTTGCTTTTCCTCATCGAGCTGCAGCTGCAAGTGACTCATGTCAAGATCCCCCCTAGAGTGACAAGGTAATAAAAAGTTTTTCTTGCTGTTCTTTTATTAATTATTCTTTTTCTTTATTTTCGATTATCAAATATTCTCAGTTGCAATAGAAATTTACATAGTTGCCTTCCCTGCCTTCTGATTATATTGTCATTATGCATCACAACATTATTTGCCTGGTGTTGGATTGTGGATTATTTGTCCGTCTCTCTGGGATGCTTCAGTGTTCACAGCACATCTTGGTGCCCTTGATGATAGTTGGTTATCTTTATTTGTGCCAGTGGAGGAAAAGTGCTATTTTAAGTGGGTCTGTTAGCTTTTGGAGTCTTTTGGTTGCTATTTAAAATGTCTTCCAATCATGGGCGTATCCACATATTGGATTGGTAAGCCTAATCTTTGTGTTTCTTCCTGTGATTTGCAGCTGTATTTTCAGAAAAATCTTGTTAATTTTCTTTCATTTCGTAGTCTCTAGAAAAGGGTGAAGAAAAAACCTTCAAAATTAATTGAAAATGAAAGTGGGGATCCTAAGTCTAACTATGGATTTCTAACATGAAATGATATGCATCATGAGCTTTAACATTTAAGTCCTCTACAATTAAAATAAGTGTTTTTTGCCAGCCTTCAACGTTCTAGCACAAACATAATTAAATGATGATTGGGTAATTTAAAGTCATAGGTTTTGTTCATTTTATCTTTTAATTTTCTTAATATATTGAGAAAAGTTATCATTTTTATGGTTAAAAATTCTCTTATACTTCTTTGTATTATGTTAACTCAGTCAATCAATCGAATAAGCCATTAAATTTATAATAACAACACAATTAAATTTATCTTTGTTTGAGCAAACACAATAAAATACAACTGAATCAACACTAGATGGCACCTATGATCTTCAATAGCTCTTAACATAATTTATAATAACACCAAAATTAGCTATAATCTAATTCTTGTCAGTTTTGAAGTTGTACAAGCATTTATCAAAATGTTGTGAAATTATCTATAGAAATTGAGATCACTAGTTTCTAAGCTTACTTTTCAACATGATATATGTCCATGACATTTAACATCACTAGTTTTATTTGAATCTTTCCTTACTTTCATCTTAGGCATGGACTTTGAGATCTCCATAGGGGGATAACGGTCATAATCACTCTTCAATATCCATGACATATCAGGTACGTTTTGCTAGCCAAGTCCTTAGTTTTTTCCTATATGAATTCTTATTGATCCTTGCACTTAGAACTAAATGCAATCCTAGTTGCTTAACAATGACAACATCTGCCTGAGATTTACAGGTTGTCCCCCGGACAAGACATGGACTCAATCATATTATGGAATCTTTCTTATTGATCTGAATGCCTGGACAAATTCAACACTCGAGCTCCAATGTGCAAAGCTTTCGCAATTGTCTTTAAAAGCTTGTTGTTGGGCAAAACCCCATACTCTTGCAATCACATGTCGTTATTTCAAGAAGTTGATGAAACGAAAACAGCTGATACCTTGTCGAGTTGTAGATGCATTAATGGATTGTATTTCTCGACCAAGCTCTTCAAGCGAGGATGGGGTTGTGAGCCAAAAAATTGGTGCCAGTTACCAATCAATGGCAGATTGTAAGATTCATGAGGCAATTTATGCTTCGAAAGTCTCATGTATTCTTTCATAACCATGAAAACCAGTATGAAAGTGAAAAAGAAAGGGAAAGACATGTCGGAGCTCCACCAAGGATTGGGACTTGTTTATTTGAATTTTAGATTCTTCAACTCTTTTGAAGAACTTAGCTGAGAAATACAATCCATTAATGCATCTATAACTAGACAAGGTATCAATCAGACTCTTTGAAATATTCTGCACCATTAGAATGCAAAGAAATGTTATTTTCACCTGCTACATATACAACCGGAGGTTTAATGACGACAAAGATCGGAAGAATGTTAAACGGCGACGATGTCGGTAATCTGACCACTAGTCAACCATGAAGAAGATGAATAATGTTGATGGGAATTGAAGAAATTGAGGGTAACCTGATGAAGAAGATGAATAAGATGAACAATGTTGAAATAGATGTTAACGTGTCATGTAATTTTTTAACGACAGTGACAGTAATGGAAGTAATTTAAAAGTTTATTGATTGTATTGTAAGTTTTAAAAGTTAGGTGACCAAAATATTAGCACCTTAAAAGTCTGATGAGTATGTATGTAGTTTACATATAAAAATATTATAAGTTCATAGTTTAGTTTAGTAGATCGTATGGCTTCCTGGGTTTAAATTCGGGTTCTCGAATTGAATGCATTCAAATAAAGATATATTTCTGTTTGTTTGTTTAACTTTAACTGAATAAACAGAAACAAATAATTAATTGAACAATTTTTTTGTTTGTGTTTATTTATTAAAGAATATAGTTTGTTTGTGTTTGTTAAAATGATAAACGAACACAAATAAACACAAATGAATATAAAAGAACGAACATAAAATATTATTTTCTTTTAGATCAAGTAAAAATTCTTAAAAGAATATAAATAAACAAAAATAAATATAAGTTTAATTTAAACATGAACGAACGAATTATCGAACATGTTATAATGAAAATAAACAAACAGTAAATGAACGAACGAGTTATTTATTCGTATTCGTTCATTTAATTAAACGAACATAAAATCTTATTCATATTCTTTTATTTAATAAATAAACGAATATAAATGAATTTTCTACCGAAAGTTTAATGTTAGTTTACAAGGGAGTCTTAAATGTTTACAAGATGATAGCAGTGGCCAAGTAGTGATGTTTGAAGCGTTGACCGTTTTTGTTCTTTTAATTTTAAAAACAGTAATCAATAAAATAATTGGTGAATGCAATTTTACATCCTTGTGATTTTTCCCCTTTCATTTTACCACTATAATAACTAATCCTAAATGGACAAGCATAAACTAGTTTCGTTCGAGCACCATAAATATCATGTCAAATGGTACTTCTACAAAAAAATGACACTCCATTTTAAGAGCATCTCCAACGCTGCTCTACTGTAGCGAATTTCTGGCTCTGGAGTGCTCCAGCCTTGCTCTGGATCTATCGCTACTCTACAGATCACTACAGTATCACGCTACATCTAGCGTATTACTATAGCAACGCTACAAAAAAAATATATTTTTAATGATTAAATTAGATTAAATTATATTGAAGTAGATTAAATTACAATATAGATAAAAATATATTGAAATTAGATAAATAAACATACTAATTTTTTGAAACATAAAAATACAACAAACATAAAAACATAGAATTTTTTTAATGATTAAATTAGATTAAAGTAGATTAAATTAGAATATATATAATTCAGAGAATTAAAAATATATAATTATGTAATTTATGTTTTTCGTATTATTATTATGAATTGTAATTTTCTTATTTATTTATATTTGCGTAATATTATTTATGAATGTTTTATTTATACTTTTTATCTTGATATTTTTTAGAAATGTATATGTTTTATTTTATATTTTCAAAATCAATATTATAATAGTTAAATATTATAAATAAAGTAGAGTTAGTGGTAATGTAGAGATAACGCTGGAGATGAATTACTGTTTTATCTCTAAGATAGAGATAGAGATGCGCTAGAGTAAAGATGAGCGCTGAAGATGCCTAAGTTAAAAATGTATTTACAATTTCAATAAAGTATTATGAATACCATGAAAAAGAAAATCCGATACCATCAGACACACTCTTTAATGTATAAGCGACAGATGTTGACGACACGACATACCACAACACATTGTATATAAGAGAAAAAAACAATCATAACTTACATATTTTACAGTTAACAAAGTCATAGTAAACTTGTTGCCGGTAATTTCTATATGAAACAACAGATTCTCCTTCCCCCCACTGCATTTTCAGCCATGAATCTGCCATTCAATAAGGCTTTGAGGCTTATGAAACATGAATTTTCTTCAAGATTAACATAAAGAACCGACAAGCGATAAAGGAATGCTTACCATGCCGCGAGACTTGGTATCGATGGTAGGACCTGAAGGCCTGTGAAATAGTAGGTGTGCTATGGATCTATCTATAGGGTTTGTGCCAGTTTCCATATCCATTAATCCAGTGCACCTGAACAAAACCCAATATTTAGAGTTGAAAAAAAAAAAAAAAACTGATTGAAACATTGGATTGAATAAACAAAAGAAAGAGAAATGCACACGACGCTCGAGATGTAACAAGCATATAGTTTGGAACAGCTAGCATGACACTCAAGATGTAACACAAGGTCTAATAGTATATAACACCAAAAGGGGTCATTGCCGTGTTCGCCACTATTAATTTCTTTCTTCACAAAACTAGTAGCACAAAGGACTGTAGGTAGCAGGTAGAGCTTAATCGACATACTCGATATTACAAACTGATATTAAATTCTGTTCTAATATGTAAGCTCATAACTACCATGGCCGCATTTTTAACCTAGATGTCTGTAACGATTCACTCAGACTTCAATTTTATTGAAATACATGTATCAAGCACCTACATGACCATACAAATACATGACGAAGTTTAGAAAAATTAAGTACGTATTCGGATCCAACAATCACATCTAAGTCAAAGTAACATAGGTCTATAGTTCAAAATTCAAAATTATGAGTGCCTTAATAATACACGAACTGGCACAAGCTAGCTGGATAGTCCCTAATATCTAGGAAACCAAAAATTGAATGATTCAAGTATTTCTACACATCGTTAATTCAATTCAATGGTCAAAGTTGAACAGACGTGCAATTTAAAATGTACAAAGAAATTCTTGTTCAAGAAACAAACACGTACTTGTTCGTTGCCACAAAAGAACCAGCCATATCCCTTTCATCCTTGATGTCACCTTCTGTATTTGTGCAATTATGCCTTTTTTCAGCACTCCTAGCCAATCGATACAGACTATCTCGTATGCACAATTTTGTCCTGATATCCAACTGAAAATTCAAGCATTTTAGTTTGATCAATTTCCATGTTTATTGATTACCAAAATGAACATGCATATCACAAAATCTTTCCATTTATTATACCTTTTCCATGTCCTGCTGAAGCTGCAAAAAACCAGATGCTTCTAGTGAGACTTCATCCAACACAGAACTCATAAAAGAGCTCGGCTGGTTTTTTGAAGAATCTAATTCTGCTGGCTTTCGTACACTAACTCCTCGAACTTCACTATGGCCATCTTGTTCAGATTGATGGAACTGCTTTTGAACAGTAACTGGATCATAAAATGCCATCTTACTGCCCACTTTTGTATGTTTGACATTCCTTTTGAGTGGGTCTTGTGTATCTTGCTGGTAATGTAGATTTCCCCTTTTCTCAGTAATTATACTGGCAGAAGCCCCAAACGAAGGCCCACTAGAGCTCTCGATTGACTGCACCTGATCTGAAGCATAAGATGACTCATTTGTTGAACAAGGGTCTCCATTATTTTCAGATTTGGTACTTGATAGAGTTGGACATTCTAAAATTTGATCTAAAGAACTGATGTAGTTGAGATGCATATGAGGAATATTTGTCTTTACATAACTCGGAGAATCAGGTCCAACGTTTTGTTTGTGCTGCTGAAGGCTTGATGGAGAAAAGAATTGACAGGATGACTCGTTAAAGATGTGCTTCACATCTGCAGGCTGCTTGATGTTACCATATTGGTAAAAGGAACCAATATTTTGCAGATGATGATCTTTTCTTTCTCCTGATGCACTCAGTTGTTTCAACTGTTTTTTTGGTGGATTGATCTGTAATTTGGCAATGCATTCAACATTGGAACAATATGTCGATGAAAACTTAAGAGAGGAATCTTTCTTCCGAAACCAGCTAATGAGTGGAGCACGTTGATCATACTCTAAATTGGAGATCTAAGTCAACTATGAACAAGCACTAGAAAGAGGATGTAAATCATGGTAATAATAAGCTGCATTTAACTTCAAAGTCCCACAATCCACTACTCATCTGAAATAGTTGTAGCATGACATTTATATTCAGAAAGAAGTGTGTATAAAGTTTTTGGAGAAAGACAAGTTCTAGGCGTCAAAATTTAGATATCTAGAACAAAATGTGGAATATACATAATCAATACATACCAACTTTAAGAGACAAGGAACATTTTACTAACCTGCTCAATGAGCGTCAACTCATCCTTACTTTCAGATTCTTCATTGGATACATTTACATATGACATGTGAACAAAACCAGCATTATCACCTTTCCTACTACGGGAACCTATTTTGTCACTTGAATGCACACTTCTCTTGCTGGAATCAATAGTCGAAGAAACTGCATAGTCTAGTCTAGAACTTGCACAATGCTGTGGTATACTATTCAGTTTAGCATCAGCCTTAAATCCATCTTGAGATCCTTCAGTCACTTGTGAAGATGAAAACCAGCACAGATCATCTTCATTACTGAGACTCCCCAACCCAAATGTAGAATCACAACTTCTGCCAGAAAAATAAGAAAGGATAAGTATCAATAGTACTCTGAAAACCTAAATACATGCACGCAAAGATACAAGGTGCAGGTACATAGACATGGATAAGTACAGATGAATGGTTGTAGATACATGGAGAGGTCCTACTCAAGCTACCTGTCTGATTTTACATAGCAAAGCATAACATGTAAAAGAACAATTAATAATGGGATTATATAAACTACCTGAACATCCTGTCAACCTCATCAAAATTGCCGATATCTCCCCAGCCATAATATAAAAGATCACTGTTTTCTTTGTCTTCATGGTGATTATTAAAAAAACTGAAATCGTCATCAGCTTCCGTTATGTGTTTTAGTGGAAAACAGTAAGCATCATTGTCCTCTGTAGCACACTTGTCAACCAAGATAGAATCATCAGCACAAAACTCACTGCCAACTGAATCCATATTGCCAGGTTTTAGACCATAGCTGGAGATACTTGGATCATCAGAAGCCAAGCTTGTTACTTCTTTGAGTGACTCATTATCACCAGGAGTGGAAAACATAGCTTCAGGACTGTGAGAACACAGACCCTTCTCTAACATTCTGTTTTTGGTCAAAGTATGTAAACCTGTCTCCTTCTCCTCCAAAATACTATGTTTAGTCATATCCACAGAACTCTTAGTAGCTTCAATCACTTCATGTTGTGGTTTTTTACGACTATCACAATGAGCTTTGAATTGAGCACCATATTCGTCAATAGTACATGGCACTATATGATCATCACTAGCATCAAATTCATCACAAACATTATCTACAAGCTGTAACATGAATTGCTCAAGTTTAGTCAATCGGTAATTCTTCATCAAAGGAAAATAAAATGAAGAATATGAAATTCAATAATTTTGAAACTATGTATGCATCCCGTGGAACAAATATTCCTTAAAATGGTAAGGCACCAAAACCATTAAGGTCACCAATGAGTCTCAGCGAAATCTGAAAATGCAATGTGAAGCCATCCAATTATCAGCCAATCAGATTTATCATATACCTAAGTATTTTTTTGGTAAAACAATCACATTCTGCTCGAGCCCGTGCTCTAGCAAACCCCAAGGTTTTTCCCATTGCACTAAATAATGGCTTTATTGCACAAAAAATTGGTACTATACAACAAATAAATATTAGAAAATCTCATCCTTAAAGTCAATAAAATCTTATCTAAAACACTCTGACAAGAAGAAATTAGTATAAAGGTAACGTTATTAGTAAAATTATATTAATCTCCAGCTAACAAGCATAGGTTCAATCCTTGATAAGCACTGTAAATTAAACAGATAAAGACATTTAGGGGTGAAATTTGTTGATGTGCTAATCACATAAACACAGAAAATATCCAACTCATCATTGACAATACAAATATCAAACTAGGACTTAAATCTAGCCTGCTCCAATAAGACAGTGACCAAAATAAACCCTAAAATCCCAACTCATGAACAAAGTCAAAAGGCAACAACAAACCCTCAAATAAAGGGCCCAAAAAGCTTCAAAGTACTTAAGATTCTTTCTTTTCCATGATAAATCCATCACACCCTTGATATTTTCAATAAATACCTCCACTACTATAATAACAAAAGAGGCACTATTCCACACTAAACTTATAAGCTCTATTGACACTTGAAATCAATTCTAGTGAGCAACTGAAAGTAAAACCAAATCTCAAGTTGAATCAAGAACCTGAAATGATTGCATCCCACAAAAAGCTTTATTGACACAGTGGCACCATACAACTAGAACATGAAAGTAAGCTGAATAAACTTTTACAAAAATAAAACCAAGAAACCTACATCAAACATGCACATGTCAGACATTCCTTCAAGAACCTTATCCACCACTAAACACAAATCCAATCTGTTGATCCGCTGTCATGTTTATGGAAGACATTTATGTCTGGTTTAGCTTTCTGACACAAACAGAATTATAACAGATCAGGAAAACCCTTCAGCAGACTAGACCAGCTCAAAATTTGGAATCAGAATCAAGTTCAATCTGAAAGCTATTAATACAAACTAAACAAAAACCAAATTAGTTCAATCTGCAACTCTTATAGCATGATATAATATATATTAATCTAGCATCTTCAAATTCATCATTTTTCATGCACAAATCTATTGTAGCAACTAGCAAGTAGCAATCATTTTTTTCCCTCAACAGCCAACCCGCAGAAGAATTGAGAAAAATAAAATAAAAACTCTAATTTTATTTACATAAAAAGTAATAAATATTGTAAGCACGATAAGGATCAGATATAGCTTAACTTTTAGTTAAAAAATATAAAATTCCGATTCATTTCCTGCATTTTCTATGCAAACCACACAAATTTATATACAAGAAATCCAAATCTAAGCAATCAATTAAAACAGTAAATTTCAAAGATAAAATAAAACAGAAACGATCTCCTAACAAAGACTCATCGGAAACTACCTGAAAATCAAATACTCCAAACAAAAAGAAAGAAAAAAAGAGAAGTTTTATTTTCCCGACAAACGTAGAACGAAGGCTCCTAAATCCAAATCACGCGGCTATTCAGCAGTAAACAAAACCCCTAAATTCAAGAGATGTGATTTCTAAGAGGTTCAGAACAAGAATTGAACAAAGTAAGCACTCGAATTGTTTTTCATATATTGATTTCTTTGCTTTCTCTTCTGAATTGGGAATAAAATAATATTTTAATTAGTTTATTTTTAAAAGGTTAAGGCGTAAAGGAGGCTGGATGAAACGTGGCGAGGAGATCAAAACAACGGCTGTGCTAAAACGGTAGATATCAGAACTAGTGGACCAGAGTGAGGCCGATCAGTTTCTTTGACGTGATTGGTCCTCGTACGTGTAAACTTCGGTAATGTCGACACGTGTCCAGGACAATTGGCCAGGAATTTTTAAAAGATTGGATTAACCGTTCACGTGGTTTGGCGAGAATTGGGTGTTTGAGGAGTTTAATATTTTTTAATTAGTCTGACGACCATTCAGTTTTCTAGTACTAACAAATTAATTAAAGGTTTAATATAAAAATAAAGTTTAATATAATGTTACAAACGTTATTATTTTAAGTGTCTCGATCATAACGATCATTAAAATTTTTTCGCTAAGTGACACATGTTGCATTTAAATAATGTTAAAATTTTGATTTTTTTAAAAAAAACTTTAAAATATTATTAATTTTTTAAATTACAAAAACAAAATCCTAAAAACCCTTATTTTAATCTCATACCAATCTTCGTTGGCCATCACTAATCGCCTTTGTCATCGTTGAATGGTCACCCACTTATCGTCAAACCTTCATTGCCGATCATCTCTTTTATTGTTGTCTCAATCCCCCAAATCTATAACTCTCTAAACTTAAATCCCTAACATTTATCCTTAAATCCATAATCCTGATCCCAAATTTATGTTCGATAATGGTTTTTTAATTCTTTAAAAAATAAAAAATATAAATGTGACACATGTTATTTAATGGATTTTTTTAATAATCACTACGGTCAAGGCACTTAAAGTAATAACATTTGTAATATTAGGCATCTAAATTGACCGGAAAAATTAGGCACCTAAATAGAGAAAAGACGTATAGTTTGGACATCGTTTTTATATTAAACCTTAATTAGTTAATGGTTGATTAACTCTGTTCAATGTTTCTAATATTGCTGATGCTCGTTGCTCTGTGCGTCACTATTACTACCACAAAGCTTTATTTAGGCATGTAAACTAACCGAACAAACATGAATGAGTGCATGTTCATGTTCGTTCATTTAACTTTAGTCGAATAAATGAACGAACATGAATAATTAAATAAACAAGATTTTTTGTTTGTGTTTGTTCATTAAGGAATGTAACTTGTTCGTGTTCATTTATATTTGTTCGTTAAAACGATAAATGAACATAAATGAATAAATATAATGCAACTTTCTTTTAAATCAAGGAAATATTCTTATATAAATACACGAAGATAAATATAAATTTAATTAAACAAATGAATATAAATGAACAAATTATCGAACGTAAATGAAATAAACGAATAAATTATCAAACAAACAGATTACTGAAATGTAATTGAACAAATGAACCCTTTGTTTTTGTTCATTCATTTAATTAAACAAACAAAAAATTTTATTCATATCCGTTCATTTAATAAATAAACGAACATAAATAAACTTTCCGCATAACGCCCCGAACATTTGGATCGTTTATAAACCTTCTTTTATTCATGAACTGGCTTTAAAAATGAGTAAACTATATGTTTAATAACCCAACTATCACTTTTATTCCTTTTTGGTTACTCAACTATTTTTTATTTCAAAATCATATTTAACGTTACATTTTGGTCATCTACCGTTAAAAAATTAACACTGATACTGACATGTCACTATAAGATAACGTAACTTCATCATTATTTTTTTTAAAATGCCACATAAATAGTTCTATTTATTTTTTAATGATGTGTATGAAACAAAAACGTAATGTTAAGTATGATTTTAAAGAAAATAATAATTAGGTATTCAAAATGAAACAAAAGTGATAATTGAGATACTAAACATATAGTTTACCTCTAAATTATGGGAAATGCTCACGTGCGACAGCTTTAATATACGGTTAAAAAAGACGCTATCGGTTTTGTTATTATTTAAATAACAAAACCGGTAAAAAATTACCGAAAACATTATTATTTCTATCGGATTTGTTATTATTGGGTGTTTTACCAGATTTGGTAAAGCGCTACCGGTTTTGTTATATTTTATACCGATTTTATTATTTTTTTCTACCGGTTTTGTTATTATTATTCATTTTTACCAGAAATATTTAAAAAAATTGATGTTTTAGATAAAAATAATAATGTTTTAAGTAATTTTTTATTATTTTATTATTTAAATAATAACAAAACCGATAACACCTTATTTTAATTTTATATTAAGGTGCCGCACTGAAAACTTCTCATAAATTATACATTTTTTTTTGTACAAGATAAGGCTAACAACGTGGGGGATAAACTACATGCCCCTCTTGTCTTTATCCAACCAATGCTGAATTTCAAAAGGAATCGAAGATAACAAAGCCCAGGGCTGCCTGATCGACCGAGCCGAGCCAGTGCATCAGCGGCCTCATTGCTTTCACGATTAACATGCGAGATTTCCACCCTCCATGGACGCTTCAGAATGTCTCGGATACGGCGAACGATCGACGGATCATACAAGTTAGCCTGACCATTGATAACCTTCACTGCTTCAACGCTATTCGTTTCAAGATCGACGTTTCTAGCTCCATTAAGCCAGGCTAGAGACAGACCATCCATAATTGCCCAGAGTTCAGCATGAAGGAAGGAGCACCGTCCGATATTACGAGTGAAACCCAAAATCCACATCCCTTCATTGTTGCGAATGACCCTTCCCCCCGTTGCAACGTTAGCTCCCGGAGAGACCGCTTCATCCGTGTTGACTTTCAGCACCCCCATATTCGGAGGTTTCCACTGCTTCCTAATCAGGTTCTGGTCCAAACTACGCCGGGTAGAGTGTGGTTGATGGCGGACTATTCTAGCCCATGCCAAAGTCGATCGAATGATCTCTTGTGTGGACCAAACTTGACCTTGAAAAACGAAACAGTTTCTTTGCTTCTATAGCCTCCAGATCATGATCCCAAAACAGTGACGCCAACAAAACTGCGGCCTATCCAAAACAGAATTATGAGCTAAATTACATTTAAGCCATTCAACAAGGGATAAGGAGGAAAACATCCCTGTGATGTTCATGAACCAAAGTATCCCAGATCGTGCTTTCCGTGAAACAATCCGAAGCACAGGGGTTATTGTTTCTTCCTCTCTACCGCACACTGGGCAGATATTATCAGAACTGATTTCTCTACGGCTACGCTCGTTGTTAGTCATCAGACGTCGACGGAGGGTCAGCCAAATAAAGCAGCTAATACGATGGGGACCATCAAAATCCCAGGCCACGTTCCACACCGAGCTACGAACATCACAATTAATCTTATGAAGCTCGGAGAGCGCTGATCGCTCGAAGCAGGCACCGGTCGCTTCCCAACACCATGAAGGTTTGTCATCACCTGCCTCGTCGCAAGGAGGAGGGACAACAACGATCAGCTGAACAGTCTCCTCGTTAAGATAGTGAAGAAGAGATTTAATATCCCACTCTCCATTAGGTAAGACATAGGCGCGACCATCACGAAAGACTAGCACATATTCTCCTGAAGCAGGGTCCAGACCAAACTTAACAATCTCCAAACATAAGAGTAATGAGAAGTGGTAATATTCTCAAGCATAGGATCCGAGATTTTATAGTTCTAGCTGAACACTCTCACTCAATGGAAATCCGGGTTCATCACAAGATTATATCCCAACTTAAGCAGAAAAGCAATGTTTTGAGTGCAGAGAGGACGAATCCCTAACCCACCGTTGGCATGAGGTTGACAACAAGAATTCCAGTTAACAAACGTCATTTTTGAATGATCGTTCGTGCCACCCAAATGAAGCGGCGGACTATTTGTTCAATTTTGTCGCACACTCCCCGGGTAATCTCCACAATCTGCATAAAGTAATTGGGTATGGCAAGTAAAGTGGCCTTGACGAGGGTAATCCTCCCAGCTAAGGATAGCTTGGAGGCCGTGCACTACACCCATTTAATTTATTACGAACCTTGTCAATGATAAACTGGAAGGTATTCTAAGTCACTCTAGCATGAAAAAGAGACATACCCAAATACTTTCCGAGATCTTTGGTGAGCTGGAACCCCATAAGATTACAGAGGGAAGCTAATGTAACATCACTCGCATTATCAGAGAAAAAGACTCGGCTCTTGTTCGAGCTCACTTTGTGCCCTGAGAAGCGACTGAATTGGTCAAGAATAGCACGCAAAAGGTTAGCCTAACTAGGGGTAGTTTGGCACAAGAGGAGAATATCATCAGCAAAGAACAGATAGGAGATGAGGAGCCGCCTCGGGAGAGGACCATCTCTTCCCACAAACCAACATTCATTGCATAGTGAATATTATACCCCGATCTCTCAATGCAAAGTAAAAACAGATAAGGCGAGAGAGGGCATCCCTGACGGATCCCCCGGATAGGTTTGAATTCCTTAGACATAGAACCATTTGAGAGGATTTGGAAAGTCGAGGATGAGACGACATCCATAATAGCATCAATCACACAATTAGAGAGAAACTCTAGGACACACAGTTGTAAGCTTTTTCCAGATCCACCTTGACAGCCATCCACTGCACTTTGCCTTTTCTCTTGGTTTTCATGGAGTGTACAACTTCTTGGGTAATAAGGGTGTTGTCGGTTATGCTCCTCCCAACGATAAAGCTAGTTTGGTTGTGAGAAATGATATTCGGGAAAATAACTTTAAATCTATTGGCGATAATCTTTGTGACAAGCTTGTAAAGAACAGTACACATACTAATGGGATGAAACTCAGCAAAAGACTCTAGATTATTCACTTTCGGGATAAGGACTAAAAGAATCTTGTTGATAACAACCTCGATGCAATTCCCATTGAAAATCCCTTTAACCCAATTACAGACCATAGGGCCAACCGTGTCCCATTGCATGAAGCCCATCGACCCCTGGGGACTTGAGCGAACTTATGTCAAATAAAGCGTTTTTAATCTCCTCATCAGTAACAGTACCATTGAGAATACCGATATCATC